AGCTACAACTATTGACACATTTGTGTTTTCCTCCAAGAGAAAGAGATAAACTTTTTTATTTCTTTCAAAAAGCCTTGTGTTTTAGATATTTTCAGCCCTGCTAATTTGAATGTTCATGGAGGATGAATGGAGGAGAGTGGAGCGTCTTTATTTGTTATGTAAAGAATCTCTGATCACACCACCTCCCCCACGTCTAAAGCCGTGTTTGGACTGTCTCCTGTCCTCAGACATCACCCAAACACAACAAACCATTTATTGCTAAATAATATATTGACTATAAAGCCTTGTTTCCATTGGCAACAAACACATAAGCTACACAAACATAAATTCACTCAGTTCCTCTTAAACACCTTACACAATCAAACAGTAATAAGAAACTAAGACACATAATACAACATCATAACAGGCACAAACTTACTGTGGTCATAAACGAACACTTCAAAACAACGACAATCTACAAGATCTAAAAGTAAACTCTAGTTGCAGGAACCACATTTCCTCCAGTCACTACTTAGGCAATTTAAAAGGCAGGAGCGCCCTCTAGTGGACCTTCCACAGATTACAACAAAACCAGACAATTTATTTAACAAGAACATGGAAATCAAAAGGCCTTTTGTACAGCGTGAAGATCACCTGTGATCGCACAGTCATTGCCTGATCGGACTTTGCAGACACCCTGCTCCACAGGCTTGGGGTTCTCTCTCTCAATAGTCCAAAATTAGTCCTGGGTTAGTCCTGCTTCAGTCCTGGTTTAGACCTGACTTAGACCTGGTTTAGATCTGGTTTAGACCTGGGTCAGTGCTGGTTCAGTCCTTGTTCAGTCCTGCTTTAGTCCTGGTTCCGCTACAGATGCAGTTTGTTGCTTTGTCTGGTTCTCTCTCTTGACTCCAGTCACGGGTCTGAATCCGGTGACATTGTCGTTAGCTGCTAAAGTCCCTGGTGACACCAATTTAAAATCTAATTGGTTGAAGCAACAGTTTCATAGACATTAATTTTGCATTGCAGAACAGATTGTGAAGGCCTCAGGCAGACTTCTTTGACTTTGACTCTGCCTGGCAACAAGTGACGGCTGAAATGTGATTGGTCAAATGCTTTAATATGAAAATACATGACTGGAAGAAAGTAATATTTATTGACATTTGCACTGATTTAATCTCTCTGCTTTTCTGTGTTTCCATGCAGAGCTCGACCAGCAGAATGGGCTTCACCTGTGACCAGTGTGGGAAGGAGTTCACACAGTCTGACACCCTCGAAGAACATATGAAAATCCACACTGTCCAAAGACCATTCCGCTGCGATGTCTGCGAGATGGCGTTTCCTAGATCAAGCTCCCTCGTAATACATAAGAGAATCCACACAGGAGAAAGACCGTACAGCTGCGACGTCTGCGAGGAGAGGTTTAAGATCTCAAGCCACCTCGTGTCACACATGAGAACCCACACTGGAGAAAAACCGTACAGCTGCGACATCTGTGGAAAAAAGTTTAGCAGGTCAAATGGCCTTGCAGCGCATCTGAGAATCCACACTGGAGAAAAACCGTACGGCTGCGACCTCTGCGAGAAGACGTTTAGGATGTCAAGCAACCTAGTGTTACACATGAGAATCCACACCGGAGAAAGACCGTACGCATGTGACCAGTGTGGGAAGACGTTTAGACACTCTAGTAAACTAAGCGCGCACATCAGAATCCACAGTGGGAAGAAACCGTTCGCCTGTGAAGTCTGTGAGAAGGCTTTTTATACGTCACGCGCCCTTGGAAATCACGAGAGAATCCACACCGGAGACAGACCTTACAGCTGTGATCTCTGTGAGAAGGCGTATTTTTCACAAGAGGCCCTAGTGTTTCACAGAAAAGTCCACGCTGCAGAAAAACCCTTCAGCTGTGATGTCTGCAAGAGAACTTTTTCTACATCGGGTGCCCTAGTGTCACATCGGAATATCCACACTGGAGAAAGACCGTACGCCTGTAATTTCTGCGAGAAGGCTTTTTTTTCATCAGACTCCCGCTTAAAACACATGAAGGTCCACACCGGGAAGAGATCGTTCCGCTGCGACGTCTGCGAAAAGGCATTTTATACGTCAAATAACCTCGCAGTACATATGAGAGTCCACACCGGGGAAAGACCGTTCAGCTGCGACGTCTGTGAGAAGAAGTTTTCTAAGACAGGTGACCTAGTGAGACATATGAGACTCCACACCGGAGAGCGACCGTACAAATGTGACGTCTGCGAGAAGACGTTTACGGCGTCAAGCTACTTAGTAACGCACAAAAGAACCCACACTGGAGAAAGACCGTACAGCTGCGACCTCTGCGAGAAGGCGTTTTTTACATCAACTGTCCTAGCAGTACACATGAGAACCCACACTGGAGAAAGACCGTTCAGCTGCGATCTCTGTGAGAAGGCGTTTTTTACGTCAAGCAACCTTGTATCTCACAGGAAAGTCCACACTGGAGAAAGACCGTACAGCTGCGACGTCTGTGAGAAGACATTTACGGCATCGAGTCAACTGGTAAAACATAGGAGAGTCCACACTGGAGAAAGAGCCTTCAGCTGCAACGTCTGTAAGAAGGCTTTTTTTACGTCAAGTGACCTAGTAACACATGGAAAGATCCACACTGGAGAAAGACCGTTCAGCTGCGACGTCTGTCAGAAGAAGTTTTTTACAACAGGTGACCTTGTAAGACATATGAAACTCCACACTGGAGAGCGACCGTACAAATGTGACGTCTGCGAGAAGACGTTTACAGCATCGAGCTCCCTAGTAAAGCATAAAAGAACCCACACTGGAGAAAGACCGTACAGCTGCGACCTCTGCGAGAAGGCGTTTTTTACGTCAAGCAACCTAATATCTCATAAGAAAGTCCACACTGGAGAAAAAACGTTCAGTTGCGATGTCTGTGGGAAGGCATTTTTTACGTCAAGTGATCTAGCAACACATAAAAGAACCCACACTGGAGAAAGACCGTTCAGCTGCGACGTCTGCGAGAAGAAGTTTTCTACGACAGGTGACCTAGTGAGACATATGAGACTCCACACCGGAGAGCGACCGTACAAATGTGACGTCTGCGAGAAGACGTTTACAGCATCGTGCTACCTCGTAACGCACAAAAGAACCCACACTGAAGAAAGACCGTACAGCTGTGACCAGTGCGATAAGGATTTTAAACACTCTTCTAGTCTGGTCAGACACATGAGGGTCCACAGTAGAGAGACGTCAGAGCAAACTGTAGATCAGCAGATTCAAAACTCTCCATAACTTGGGCCCTCCAACAATCTCCAACTAGATTCAGCTAAATGTTGTGTTCTCGTTGCTTCTTCGTCAGCTGCTCTGTTCTCCACACGAACATTTGGAACACAATCCCCCTCAAATCCCAACTTTGGACTCCGTAGACATTTCAAAATCCCACTTAAAAACTCTTACAGTTTGAAATGTGAACTTTAGCTATAACTATTTTCATCACGTTTTGTGTTTGCTGTAATCATTTTCTTTGGTATGTTTTTTTTTTTATGGCAAAAAATGTTTATATTTAATCTGAATAAAAAATATCAAAAACACGTACTGATTCCCATGAACAAACTGCCATTCATGTAAAGGTGTAACAAATTAAACAAGTCACATGTTTCTTTTTCGAAACAGTTTAACAAAATAAAATACATTTTTATATTTCTCTCATTTTCTGTGTCTCAGATCCTTGGTTTTTGATTTTGCTAAATAAATCTGGATAACAACTGGACTGTGGCAGTAAAATATAAAGAGACCGAAATTAAAATCTTGGTAAAATATTCATTCTGATTCTGTTATGTGCAGAAATAACAGCTGTAGATCTTTCCATCCCAAGTCTAAGGCTACGTTTGTACGATAACGGCCTGAACCAAAGACACAAAAGTGGTGTCGCATCTTCACTTTTTATTTCACGTTTAGACGAGCGTTTTCAGGAGGAAATCCGCGTGCATACGGTGACACAAAAGTGTGTGGAATTGGATTGGGTTTACACGGCGTCAGACTCGCCTGCGACGACCTGGTGCATCCAGAATTTGACAGAGGTGATTGCAGATCCTTCTCTGTTCACTGACAGTATCTCTGCAGATTCTCCACATTTGTTGGGAGCCTCCTGTAAGTTTATTCAAGCGACCAGAGCCGTCGCCATCTAAACGAAAGGGACTTCTGATCAAATATTTTGTCATATTTACCTGCAAGTGCAGGCATCAGACTAACTGGTCAAATATTAGTCCCACAGAAGTGCACATTTACACTCTTTGGTAAAGGCAAAGGTAGGTGCTGTTTTATTTCCCAGTGTAGACGGGCTAGAAGTTGGCATTTTTGTGAAAACCATAATTTTTTCTCAAATTAATTTGTTTTACTGCAAAGAAATGAAAATTTGAAGTAAAATTATTTTCACATTGATTTTGAGAGGGAAGGTCAAATAATTGAATCACTGAATTTAAATACATTTCTGAAATACGCCCAGTGTTTATAAAATTTCTCACGTCACCAAAATTGGTTGAATTGGATCTAAAAACCTGCACAAACACAGTTCTGTGTGAATTTTCATTGCAAACACAACCACAGCTAATGTCACTAATGTACCTTCAGGTGCACATTTTCCTTTGCAAGGAACAAAATACTATATATATATTAGACAATATCTTTATATTGTGATGCCTGTAGGTTCTGTTTCGTCCTGTGTTTTCAAGTGTGCAGTTTTTAGGTGGAAAGACTCAAGTTATAGTTACAGTTTGTGTTTAGAATAGATCATTGTGTTAAAGACTGAAAAAGTTTTATATATGTATGAAAATGTGATATGTTCATTTAAATAAATGGATTTCATTAGTGTTTATTATAGACTGTCATGAGGTCTGAAGAAAAATGAAAATTTTAAACGAATTAACCTTAAATTGTATATTAAAAGAAAAAAAGAAAAAAAAACGGTGAGACATTTCCAAAGAGCCCGCCTCCTCTGGATCCTGATTGGTGCTGTGGGTTGTTTCTCACAGAAGTCGGGGGAGGAGCTTTACTGCCTACGAAAGCGGAAAAACAGCAGAGACAAAGAAGAAAGTGCCTGGACACAGAAGCCAACCAAGTTTTGGGAAAGAATGAACCTTGAAACACGAGTCCAGGACTGAAGTGCTGCTCCTGCTGCTTTTAACCTGCTCTCCTGCTTCACTGTCTGTGAGTGTGACTCTGCATCTGTGAAAACTCAAACATCTATTGATACCAAACAGTTGAGCTGATGTGTTCTAGACTCTAAACTCCTCACACCAGTGTAGATACATCCATGTGAAATGACTCAGGGTTAGATCAGTAGACAGCAGGGCTCTCAAACCTTTTCTCTTGTTCACAGTGGTAAATAAGTGTAGTCTGTATAGAACAGTGACTCTGACAGTCAGGTGGGACATATAGTACGTAGGCAGTAGGTTTAAGTTTAACTCCCCCTGAGCTACAACTATTGACACATTTGTGTTTCCCTCCAAGAGAAAGAGATAAACTTTTAATTTCTTTCTAAAAGCCTTGTGTTTCAGATATTTTCAGCCCTGTTCGTTTGAATGTTTATGAAGGATGACTGGAGGAGAGTGGAGCCTCTGTGTTTGTTATTGTTATAGAATTTTTGTGTTTTGAGGCATTCAGTCATTTAAAGTATTAATCATTGTACAATATAAGATGATCAAAATTGCTTTGTGTCTTGTTCAAACTGTGTGTAACCATAAAAACATCAGCTGATTTTGCTGTTGCACCATCTGACTCCTTTGGGCTCACACTATAGAAAATCAGATAATGACTGGTAACACATTTGGGCTGACACGGGACCCGAAGAGGCTAAGAAGGAACTGTATGTGAACCGGGACATGACATTGAGTGTGTAATCGGGTGCAGTGTCAGCTGTAATCTGTTAGTCATAGATAACAACTGAAAAACATGTCGTGTAACCATGTCAAGGCTATTGTGTGATCAGTGTTGGGAAGGTTTTACTTTTAAAATGTATTCCCCTACATCAGAGGTGTCAAACTCATTTTGGTCCAGGGGCCGTAGCAAACCTACTTTGATCCCAAAGTGTCTGGATCAGAAAACTCATGACATATAAACCCCAAAAATAACAATAAATTCAAATATTCGTGCAGAGAAACACAAATCTATTACAGAAAATTGATGAACTCTTTCTTTTACAAAATATTATAATATTATGAACAACCTGAAACTTTAAGAAAAATACAATTTCAACACAATGTTTTAACATGAACTTGTATGTAAATAGGAATAAGTCAATTTTTGTTGTAAAATCCTGCACTCGGCTCCACTTTTCTCATGTTGGACATTTTTCTGATGAGGGTGTCACGGTCAACAGTCAAAACGATCGTCCTTTAAGAGCGTTTGGAAAGAGACAAGTCTTCATTTGTGCTGCTCTGGTGGGAGGGGCCACGTACAGAGACGCTGGAGACGCTGCTGTGATAAACACCACAGAAAATTAACACGATTTTAATAGAAAATATAATTAAAATATTTTAGTAGAAAATCAGCCGAGGGCCACATTAAAGGTTTTGGAGGGCCGGATCTGGCCCCCTGGTTTAGTCCTGGTTTAGTCCTGGCTTAGTCCTGGTTTAGACCTGGTTTAGTCCTGGCTTAGTCCTGGTTTAGTTCTGGTTTAGTCCTGGTTTAGACCTGGTTTAGTCCTGGTTTAGACCTGGATTAGACCTGGTTTAGTCCTGGTTTAGTTGTGGTTTAGTCCTGGTTTAGACCTGGTTTAGTCCTGGTTTAGACCTAGTTTAGTCCAGGTTTAGACCTGGTTTACTCAAGTCTGACTGGTTGAAGCAACAGTTTCGTGGACATTAATTTTGTGTTTGAGGGCCTGTAGAACAGATTGTGAAGGCCTCAGACAAGACGTTTTTGACTCTTACTCTGTTTGGCAACAAATGATGGCTGAAATGTGATTGGTCAAATGCTTTAATATGAAAATACAGGTCTGGAAGCAAAAGAACCATCGAAAAAGTTCTGAAAGGAAGCAGGCCAACTACTGGAAGAAAGTAATTCTTATTGACATTTGCATTGATTTAATCTCTCTGCTTTTCTGTGTTTCCATGTAGAGCTCGACCAGCAGAATGGGCTTCACCTGTGACCAGTGTGGGAAGGAGTTCACACAGTCTGACGCCCTTGAAGAACATATGAGGATCCACTCTGCACAAAGACCATACACCTGTGATGTGTGTGAGATGGCGTTTCCTAGATCAAGCTCCCTCGTAATACATAAGAGAATCCACACAGGAGAAAGACCGTACGAATGTGACCAGTGTGGGAAGACGTTTAGACACTCTAGTAAACTAAGAGCGCACATGAGAATCCACAGTGGGAAGAAACCATTCACCTGTGTCGTCTGTGAGAAGGCTTTTTATCCGTCACGCGCCCTTGGAAATCACGAGAGAATCCACACCGGAGACAGACCTTACAGCTGTGATCTCTGTGAGAAGGCGTATTTTTCACAAGAGGCCCTAGTATTACTTAAGAGAGTCCCCACTGAAGAAAAACCCTTCAGCTATGACGTCTGTAAGAGGACTTTTTCTACAACAGGTGCCCTAGAATCACATAGCAATATCCACACTGGACAAAACCTGTACGCCTGTAATTTCTGCAAGAAGGCTTTTTTTTCATTAGACTCCCGCTTAAAACACATGAGGGTCCACACCGGGAAGAGATCGTTCCGCTGCGATGTCTGTAAAAAGGCATTTTATACGCCAAATCACCTCGCAGTACATATGAGAGTCCACACCGGGGAAAGACCGTTCATCTGCGACGTCTGCGAGAAGAAGTTTTCTACGACAAGTGGCCTAGTGAGACATATGAGACTCCACACCGGAGAGCGACCGTACAAATGTGACGTCTGCGAGAAGAAGTTTACTACGACAAATGGCCGAGTAACACATATGAGACTCCACACTGGAGAGCGACCGTACAAATGTGACGTCTGCGAGAAGACGTTTACAACGTTTAGCCACCTAGTAACGCACAAAAGAATCCACACTGGAGAAAGACCGTACAGCTGCGATCTCTGCGAGAAGGCATTTTTTACATCAACTATCCTAGCAGTACACATGAGAACCCACACTGGAGAAAGACCATTCAGCTGCGATCTCTGTGAGAAGACGTTTTTTACGTCAAGCAACCTTGTATCTCATAGGAAAGTCCACACTGGAGAAAGACCGTACAGCTGTGACGTCTGCAAGAAGACGTTTTCGGCGTCGAGCTCCCTAGTATCTCATAGGAGAGTCCACACTGGAGAAAGACCGTACAGCTGCGACGTCTGCAAGAAGACGTTTACGGTGTCGAGCTCCCTAGTATCTCATCGGAGACTCCACACTGGAGAAAGACCGTTCAGCTGCGACGTCTGCAAGAAGACGTTTACGGCGTCGAGCTCCCTAATATGTCATAGGAGAGTCCACACTGGAGAAAGAGCCTTCAGCTGTGACGTCTGTAAGAAGGCTTTTTTTAAGTCAAGTGACTTAGTAACACATAAAAGGATCCACACTGGAGAAAGACCGTTCAGCTGCGACGTCTGTCAGAAGACGTTTTTTACGACAGGTGACCTAGAAAGACATATGAGACTCCACACCGGAGCGTACAAATGTGACGTCTGCGAGAAGACTTTTACGGCATCGTGCTACCTAGTAAGGCATAAAAGAACCCACACTGGAGAAAAACCGTTCAGCTGCGATGTCTGTAAGAAGGCATTTTCTACGTCAAGCAACCTAGTATCTCATAGGAATGTCCACATTGAAGAAAGACCATTCAGCTGCGACATCTGCAAGAAGACATTTACGTCATCGAGTCACCTAGTATCTCATAGGAAAGTCCACACTGGAGAAGGACCGTTGAGCTGCGACGTCTGCGAGAAGAAGTTTTCTAAGACAAGTGACCTAGTAAGACATATGAGACTCCACACTGGAGAGCGACCGTACAAATGTGACGTCTGTGAGCAGACATTTACGGCGTCGAGCTCCCTAGTAGCACATAAAAGATCCCACACTGGAGAAAGACCGTACGGCTGCGATCTCTGTGAGAAAGCGTTTTTTACATCAACTCTCCTAGCAGTACATATGAGATCCCACACTGGAGAAAAACCGTTCAGCTGCGATGTCTGCGAGAAGAAGTATTTTACAACGAGTGCCCTGGTAAGACATATGAAACTCCACACCGGAGAGCGACCGTACAAATGTGACGTCTGCGAGAAGACATTTATAGTTTTTAGCTACCTAGTAAAGCATAAACGAACCCACACTGGAGAAAAACCTTTCAGCTGCGACGTCTGCGAGAAGAAGTTTTCTACAACAGGTGAACTAGTAACACATATGAGACTCCACACCGGAGAGCGACCGTACAAATGTGACGTCTGCGAGAAGACGTTTACAGCATCGATCTACCTAGTAAAGCATAAAAGAACCCACACTGGAGAAAGACCGTATGTTTGTTCCCAGTGCAATAAGGATTTTAAACACTCTTCTAGTCTGTTCAAACATATGAGGGTCCACAGTAGAGAGACGTCAGAGCAAACTGTAGATCAGCAGATTCAAAACTCTCCATAACTTAGGCCCTCCAACAATCTCCAACTAGATTCAGCTAAAATTTCTGTTCTCGTTTCTCTCTGTGTTCCTCATCTGCTGCTGTGCTCTCCACTCCCCTTCAAAACTGAACTTTGGTCTTCATAGACATTTCAAAATCCCACCTGAAAACACATCTATTCAAAGCCTCTTACAGTTTGAAATGTGAACTTTAGCTATAATTATTTTCATCACTTTTTGTTTTTGCTGTAATCATGGTCTTTGGTATGTTCTTTTTTATGGCAAAAAGGTTATGTTTATTTTAAATCTGAATAAAAAATATCAAAAACACGTACTGATTCCCATGAACAAACTGCCATTCATGTAAAGGTGTAACAAATTAAACAAGTCACGTTTTTTTTTTTTCGAAATAGTTTAACAAAATAAAATAAATTTTTATATTTCTTTCATTTCTGTGTCTCAGATCCTTGGTTTTTGATTTTGCTAAATAAATCTGGATAACAACTGGACTGTGGCAGTAAAATATAAAGAGACCGAAATTAAAATCTTGGTAAAATATTCATTCTGATTCTGTTATGTGCAGAAATAACAGCTGTAGATCTTTCCATCTCAAGTCTAAGGCTACGTTTGTACGATAACGGCCTGAACCGAAGACACAAAAGTGGTGTCGCATCTTCACTTTTTATTCCGCGTTTAGACGAGCGTTTTCAGGAGGAAATCCGCGTGCATACGGTGACACAAAAGTGTGTGGAATTGGATTGGGTTTGCACAGCGTCAGACTCGCCTGCGACGACCTGGTGCATCCAGAATTTGACAGAGGTGATTGCAGATCCTTCTCTGTTCACTGACAGTATCTCTGCAGATTCTCCACATTTGTTGGGAGCCTCCTGTAAGTTTATTCAAGCGACCAGAGCCGTCGCCATCTAAACGAAAGGGACTTCTGATCAAATATTTTGTCATATTTACCTGCAAGTGCAGGCATCAGACTAACTGGTCAAATATTAGTCCCACAGAAGTGCACATTTACACTCTTTGGTAAAGGCAAAGGTAGGTGCTGTTTTATTTCCCAGTGTAGACGGGCTAGAAGTTGGCATTTTTGTGAAAAACATCATTTTTTGTTCAAATTCATTTGTTTTACTGCAGAGAAATGAAAATTTGAAGTCAAATTATTTTCACATTGATTTCGAGAGGGAAGGTCAAATAACTGAATCATTGAATTTAAATGGAAGTCAGTGAATACATTTCTGAAATACGCCCAGTGTTTACAAAATTTTTCACGTCACCAAAATTGGTTGAATTGGATCTAAAAACCTGCACAAACACAGTTCTGTGTGAATTTTCATTGCAAACACAACCACAGCTAATGTCACTAATGTACCTTCAGGTGCACATTTCCCTTTGCAAGGAACAAAATACTATATATATATTAAACAATATCTTTATATTGTGATGCCTGTAGGTTCTGTTTCGTCCTGTGTTTTCAAGTGTGCAGTTTTTAGGTGGAAAGACTCAAGTTATAGTTACAGTTTGTGTTTAGAATAGATCTTTGTGTTAAAGACTGAAAAAGTTTTATATATGTATGAAAATGTGATATGTTCATTTAAATAAATGGATTTCATTAGTGTTTATTATAGACTGTCATGAGGTCTGAAGAAAAATGAACATTTTAAACGAATTAACCTTAAATTGTATATTTAAAAAAAAAAAAAAAAAAAGGGTGAGACATTTCCAAAGAGCCCGCCTCCTCTGGATCCTGATTGGTGCTGTGGGTTGTTTCTCACAGAAGTTGGGGGAGGAGCTTTACTGCCTACGGAAGCGGAAAAACAGCAGAGACAAAGAAGAAAGTGCCTGGACACAGAAGCCAACCAAGTTTTGGGAAAGAATGAACCTTGAAACACGAGTCCAGGACTGAAGTGCTGCTCCTGCTGCTTTTAACCTGCTCTCCTGCTTCACTGTCTGTGAGTGTGACTCTGCATCTGTGAAAACTCAAACATCTATTGGCACCAAACAGTTGAGCTGATGTGTTCTAGACTCTAAACTCCTCACACCAGTGTAGATACATCCATGTGAAATGACTCAGGGTTAGATCAGTAGACAGCAGGGCTCTCAAACCTTTTCTCTTGTTCACAGTGGTAAATAAGTGTAGTCTGTATAGAACAGTGACTCTGACAGTCAGGTGGGACATATAGTACGTAGGCAGTAGGTTTAAGTTTAACTCCCCCTGAGCTACAACTATTGACACATTTTGTGTTTTCCTCCAAGAGAAAGAGATAAACTTTTTATTATTATAAACTGGTTTAGTCCTGGTTTAGTCCTGGTTTAGACCTGGTTTAGTCCTGGTTTAGACCTGGTTTAGTCCTGGTTTAGTCCTGGTTTGGTCCTGGTTTAGACCTAGTTTAGTCCTGGTTTAGTCCTGGTTTAGACCTGGTTTAGTCCTGGTTTAGTCCTGGTTTAGACCTGGTTTAGTCCTGGACTGGGTTAGTCCCGGTTTCAGTCCTGGTGTTAGTTCTGGTTTCGAGGCGTACAGGAGGAAGCGCGGTCTACGCAGCCCTGATAATTTGAATGTTCATGGAGGATGAATGGAGGAGAGTGGAGCCTCTGTGTTTGTTATGTAAAGAATCTCTGATCACACCTCCTCCCCCACGTCTCAGGCCAAACTCTAAAGCCGTGTTTGGACAAAATTCAAGATCGTAAAAGAAATTCAAATAGGAACTATTGACTCATAATATCAACACTGACCTTTTTGAGCATTAAATGTTTGTCCCTAATTAAAAACTTACACTAATTATCAGGAGTTATTACAACGAGCAAATTGGACAAACCCCCTTTGAGCACTGTAATCCTTAGACTGAATTTGTTACAAAAGCGTGAATCAAAATTACATAAATGTATTACTGATCTTTGTGGACACCCTGCTCCATGGACTCAGGGTTCTCTCTCTCTAGTACAAAATTAGTCCTGGTTTAGACCTGGTTTAGTCCTGGTTTAGACCTGGTTTACTCAAGTCTGACTGGTTGAAGCAACAGTTTCGTGGACATTAGTTTTGTGTTTGAGGGCCTGTAGAACAGATTGAGAAGGCCTCAGACAGACTTCTTTGACTCTTACTCTGCTTGGCAACAAATGATGGCTGAAATGTGATTGGTCAAATGCTTTAATATGAAAATACAGGTCTGGAAACAAAAGAACCATCGAAAAAGTTCTGAAAGGAAGCAGGCCCACCACTGGAAGAAAGTAATTCTTATTGACATTTGCATTGATTTAATCTCTCTGCTTTTCTGTGTTTCCATGCAGAGCTCGACCAGCAGAATGGGCTTCACCTGTGACCAGTGTGGGAAGGAGTTCACACAGTCTGACGCCCTTGAAGAACACATGAGGATCCACTCTGCACAAAGATCATACACCTGTGATGTGTGTGAGATGGCGTTTCCTAGATCAAGCTCCCTCGTAATACATAAGAGAATCCACACAGGAGAAAGACCGTACGAATGTGACCAGTGTGGGAAGACGTTTAGACACTCTAGTAAACTAAGAGCGCACATGACAATCCACAGTGGGAAGAAACCGTTCACCTGTGTCGTCTGTGAGAAGGCTTTTTATCCGTCACGCGCCCTTGGAAATCACGAGAGAATCCACACCGGAGACAGACCTTACAGCTGTGATCTCTGTGAGAAGGCGTATTTTTCACAAGAGGCCCTAGTATTACTTAAGAGAGTCCCCACTGAAGAAAAATCCTTCAGCTATGACGTCTGTAAGAGGACTTTTTCTACAACAGGTGCCCTAGAATCACATAGCAATATCCACACTGGACAAAACCTGTACGCCTGTAATTTCTGCAAGAAGGCTTTTTTTTCATTAGACTCCCGCTTAAAACACATGAGGGTCCACACCGGGAAGAGATCGTTCCGCTGCGATGTCTGTAAAAAGGCATTTTATACGTCAAATCACCTCGCAGTACATATGAGAGTCCACACCACGGAAAGACCGTTCAGCTGCGACGTCTGCGAGAAGAAGTTTTCTACGAAAAATGTCCTAGTAACACATATGAGACTCCACACTGGAGAGCGACTGTCCAAATGTGACGTCTGCGAGAAGACGTTTACAGCGTTTAGCCACCTAGTAACACACAAAAGATCCCACACTGGAGAAAGACCGTACAGCTGTGATCTCTGCGAGAAGGCATTTTCTACGTCAAGTCACCTAGTATCTCATAGGAAAGTCCACACTGGAGAAGGACCGTTGAGCTGCGACGTCTGCGAGAAGAAGTTTTCAAAGACAAGAGACCTAGTAAGACATATGAGACTCCACACTGGAGAGCGACCGTACAAATGTGACGTCTGTGAGCAGACATTTACGGTGTCGAGCTCCCTAGTAGCACATAAAAGATCCCACACTGGAGAAAGACCGTACGGCTGCGATCTCTGTGAGAAAGCGTTTTTTACATCATCTATCCTAGTAGTACATATGAGATCCCACACTGGAGAAAAACCGTACGGCTGCGATCTCTGTGAGAAGAAGTTTTTTACAACAGGTGACCTAGTAAGACATATGAGACTCCACACCGGAGAGCGACCATACAAATGTGACGTCTGCGAGAAGACGTTTACAGGATCATGCTACCTACTAAAGCATAAAAGAACCCACACTGGAGAAAAACCGTTCAGCTGTGACGTCTGCGAGAAGAAGTTTTCTACAAAAGGTGAACTAGTAACACATATGAGACTCCACACCGGAGAGCGACCGTACAAATGTGACGTCTGCCTAAGAACCCACACTGGAGAAAAAACCGTTCAGCTGTGACGTCTGCGAGAAGAAGTTTTCTACAACATGAACTAGACATATGAGACTCACACCGGAGAGCGACCGTACAAATGTGACGTCTGCGAGAAGACGTTTACAGCATCGATCTACCTAGTAAGGCATAAAAGAACCCACACTGAAAAAAGACCGTATCGTTGTGGCCAGTGCAATAAGGATTTTAAACACTCTTCTAGTCTGTTCAGACATATGAGGGTCCACAGTAGAGAGACGTCAGAGCAAACTGTAGATCAGCAGATTCAAAACTCTCCATAACTTGGGCCCTCCAACAATCTCCAACTAGATTCAGCTAAAATTTCTGTTCTCGTTTCTCTCTGTGTTCCTCATCTGCTGCTGTGCTCTCCACTCCCCTTCAAAACTGAACTTTGGTCTTCATAGACATTTCAAAATCCCACCTGAAAACACATCTATTCAAAGCCTCTTACAGTTTGAAATGTGAACTTTAGCTATAACTGTTTTCATCACTTTTTGTTTTTGCTGTAATCATGGTCTTTGGTATGTTCTTTTTTATGGCAAAAAGGTTATGTTTATATTAAATCTGAATAAAAAATATCAAAAACACGTACTGATTCCCATGAACAAACTGCCATTCATGTAAAGGTGTAACAAATTAAACAAGTCACGTTTCTTTTTCGAAACAGTTTAACAAAATAAAATAAATTTTTATATTTCTCTCATTTCTGTGTCTCAGATCCTTGGTTTTTGATTTTGCTAAATAAATTTGGATAACAACTGGACTGTGGCAGTAAAATATAAAGAGACCGAAATTAAAATCTTGGTAAAATATTCATTCTGATTCTGTTGTGTGCAGAAATAACAGCTGTAGATCTTTCCATCCCAAGTCTAAGGCTACGTTTGTACGATAACGGCCTGAACCGAAGACACAAAAGTGGTGTCGCATCTTCACTTTTTATTTCGCGTTTAGACGAGCGTTTTCAGGAGGAAATCCGCGTGCATACGGTGACACAAAAGTGTGTGGAATTGGATTGGGTTTGCACGGCGTCAGAGTCGCCTGCGACGACCTGGTGCATCCAGAATTTGACAGAGGTGATTGCAGATCCTTCTCTGTTCACTGACAGTATCTCTGCAGATTCTCCACATTTGTTGGGAGCCTCCTGTAAGTTTATTCAAGCGACCAGAGCCGTCGCCATCTAAACGAAAGGGACTTCTGATCAAATATTTTGTCATATTTACCCGCAAGTGCAGGCATCAGACTAACTGGTCAAATATTAGTCCCACAGAAGTGCACATTTACACTCTTTGGTAAAGGCAAAGGTAGGTGCTGTTTTATTTCACAGTGTAGACGGGCTAGAAGTTGGCATTTTTGTGAAAACATTTTTGCTCAAATTAATTTGTTTTACTGCGAAGAAATGAAAATTTGAAGTCAAATTATTTTCACATTGATTTCGAGAGGGAAGGTCAAATAACTGAATCATTGAATTTAAATGGAAGTCAGTGAATACATTTCTGAAATACGCCCAGTGTTTACAAAATTTTTCACGTCACCAAAATTGGTTGAATTGAGTCTAAAAACCTGCACAAACACAGTTCTGTGTGAATTTTCATTGCAAACACAACCACAGCTAATGTCACTAATGTTACCTTCAGGTGCACATTTCCCTTTGCAAGGTACAAAATACTATATATATATTAAACAATATCTTTATATTGTGATGCCTGTAGGTTCTGTTGCGTCCTGTGTTTTCAAGTGTGCAGTTTTTAGGTGGAAAGACTCAAGTTATAGTTACAGTTTGCGTTTAGAATAGATCATTGTGTTAAAGACTGAAAAAGTTTTATATATGTATGAAAATGTGATATGTTCATTTAAATAAATGGATTTCATTAGTGTTTATTATAGATTGTCATGAGGTCTGAAGAAAAATGAACATTTTAAAAGAATTAACCTTAAATTGTATAAAAAAATAAAAAAAAAATAAAAAGGTGATACATTTCCAAAGAGCCCGCCTCCTCTGGATCCTGATTGGTGCTGTGGGTTGTTTCTCACAGAAGTCGGGGGGAGGAGCTTTACTGCCTACGGAAGTGGAAAAACAGCAGAGACAAAGAAGAAAGTGCCTGGACACAGAAGCCAACCAAGTTTTGGGAAAGAATGAACCTTGAAACACGAGTCCAGGACTGAAGTGCTGCTCCTGCTGCTTTTAACCTGCTCTCCTGCNTACTATATATATATTAAACAATATCTTTATTTGATGCGTAGGTTCTGTTTCGTCCTGTGTCTTCAAGTGATGCATTTTTAGGTGGAAAGACTCAAGTTATAGTTACAGTTGTTTTAGAATAGTCATTGAGTGAAAGAAAAAAGTTTTAATATGTATGAAAATGTGATATGTTCATTTAAATAAATTGATTTCATTAGTGTTTATTATAGACTGTCATGAGGTCTGAAAGAAAAATGAAATTTTAAAGAATAACCTTTAAATTGTATATTTAAAAAAAAAAAAAAAAAAAAGGGTGAGACATTTCCAAAGAGCCCGCCTCCTCGGATCTGATTGGTGCTGTGGGTTGTTTCTCACAGAAGTCGGGGAGGAGCTTTACTGCTACGAAAGCGGGAAAACAGCAGAGACAAAGAAGAAAGTGCCTGGACACAGAAGCCAACCAACTTTTGGGAAAGAATGAACCTTGAAACACGAGTCCAGGACTGAAGTGCTGCTCCTGCTGCTTTTAACCTGCTCTCCTGCTTCACTGTCTGTGAGTGTGACTCTGCATCTGTGAAAACTCAACATCTATTGGCACCAAAACAGTTGAGCTATGTGTTCTAGACTCTAAACTCCTCACACCAGTGTAGATACATCCATGTGAAATGACTCAGGGTTAGATCAGTAGACAGCAGGCTCTCAAACCTTTTCTCTTGTCACAGTGGTAAATAAGTGTAGTCTGTATAGAACAGTGACTCTGACAGTCAGGTGGGACATATAGTACGTAGGCAGTAGGTTTAAGTTTAACTCCCCCTGAGCTGCAACTATTGACACATTTTGTGTTTTCCTCCAAGAGAAAGAGATACACTTTTTATTTCTTTCAAAAAGCCTTGTGTTTCAGATATTTTCGGCCCTGTTTGTTTGAATGTTCATGGAGGATGAATGGAGGAGAGTGGACCCTCTGTGTTTGTTATGTAAAGAATCTCTGATCACACCTCCTCCCCACGTTCAGGCCAAACTTAAAGCCGTGTTTGGACTGTGTCCTGTCCTCAAACATCACCCAAACACAACAAACCATTTAAAGCTAAATAATATATCGAGTATAAAGCCTTGTTTCCGTCGCCTCACGTTGGAGTGATCAGACCCTGGAGGAGACTGGCTCCCAGAGACACCGATACAGTACAGCTTCAGACGTGCTTAAAAACACTCAACGGGTGATTGGACGACACAGACTCAAGCGAAAACAAGACGACAAAATGCAGAAAACATAAAATAGTAATTTCTCACCAAAACTTGACTTGATCTTGTTTTAAACTGTCCTGTTTCAGTAATTAGACTTGTATGTTGAGCTGATGTGCTTCACATAACAAAGGCAGCACTCACCCAGAATTCAAGATCATAAAAGAAATTCAAATAGGAACTATTGACACGTAATATCAACACTGACCTTTTAGAGCATTAAATGTTTGTCCCTAATTAAAAACTTACACTAATTATAAGGAGTTATTACAACGAGCAAATTGGACAAACCCCCTTTGAGCACTGTAATCCTTAGACTGAATTTGTTACAAAAGCGTGAATCAAAACTACATAAATGTATTACTGATCTTTGTGGACACCCTGCTCCATGGACTCAGGGTTCTCTCTCTCTAGTCCAAAATTAGTCCTGGTTTAGTCCTGGTTTAATCCTGGTGTAGTCCTGGAGTACTCAAGTCTGATTGGTTGAAGCAACAGTTTCGTGGACATTAATTTTGTGTTTGAGGGCCTGCAGAACAGATTGTGAAGGCCTCAGACAGACTTCTTTGACTCTTACTCTGCTTGGCAACAAATGATGGCTGAAATGTGATTGGTCAAATGCTTTAATATGAAAATACAGGGTCTGGAAGCAAAAGAACCATCGAAAAAGTTCTGAAAGGAAGCAGGCCCACTACTGGAAGAAAGTAATTTTTATTGACATTTGCATTGATTTAATCTCTCTGCTTTTCTGTGTTTCCATGTAGAGCTCGACCAGCAGAATGGGCTTCACCTGTGACCAGTGTGGGAAGGAGTTGACACAGTCTGACGCCCTTGAAGAACATATGAGGATCCACTCTGCACAAAGACCATACACTTGTGATGTGTGTGAGATGGCGTTTCCTAGATCAAGCTCCCTCGTAATACATAAGAGAATCCACACAGGAGAAAGACTGTTCAGCTGCGACGTCTGCGAGAAGAAGTTTTTTACGACAGGTGACCTAGAAAGACATATGAGACTCCACACCGGAGTGTACAAATGTGACGTCTGCGAGAAGACTTTTACGTCACCGTGCTACCTAGTAACGCATAAAAGAACCCACACTGGAGAAAAACCATACAGCTGCGACGTCTGCAAGAAGAAGTTTACGGTGTCGAGCTCCCTAGTATGTCATATGAGAGTCCACACTGGAGAAAGACCGTTCAGCTGTGACATCTGCGAGAAGAAGTTTTCTAAGACAAATGACCTAGTGAGACATATGAGAGTCCACACCGGAGAGCGACCGATACAAATGTGACGTCTGCGAGAAAAAGTTTACTACGACAGGTGGCCTAGTAACACATATGAGACTCCACACTGGAGAGCGACCGTACAAATGTGACGTCTGCGAGAAGACGTTTTCTACGAAAACTGGCCTAGTAACACATATGAGACTCCACACTGGAGAGCGACCGTACAAATGTGACGTCTGCGAGAAGACGTTTACAACGTTTAGCCACCTAGTAATTCACAAAAGATCCCACACTGGAGAAAGACCGTTCAGCTGCGATCTCTGTGAGAAGGCATTTTTTACATCAGGTATCCTAGCAGTACATATGAGAACCCACACTGGAGAAAGACCGTTTAGCTGCGATCTCTGTGAGAAGGCATTTTTTACATCAGGTATCCTAGCAGTACATATGAGAACCCACACTGGAGAAAGATCATACAGCTGCGACGTCTGCAAGAAGACGTTTACGGCGTCGAGCTCCCTAGTATCTCATCGGAGACTCCACACTGGAGAGCGACCGTACAGCTGCGACGTCTGCAAGAAGACGTTTACGGTGTCGAGCTCCCTAGTATCTCATAGGAGAGTCCACACTGGAGAAAGACCGTACAGCTGTGACGTCTGCGAGAAGAAGTTTTCTACGACACGTGTCCTAGTAAGACATATGAGACTCCACACCGGAGCGTACAAATGTGACGTCTACGAGAAGACTTTTACGTGCAACCTAGTAAGGCATAAAAGAACCCACACTGGAGAAAAACCATTCAGCTGCGACATCTGCAAGAAGAAATTTACGTCATCGGGTCACCTAATATCTCATAGGAAAGTCCACACTGGAGAAGGACCGTTGAGCTGCGACGTCTGCGAAAAGACGTTTTCTAAGACAAGTGACCTAGTAAGACATATGAGACTCCACACTGGAGAGCGACCGTACAAATGTGACGTCTGTGTGCAGACATTTACAGCATCGAGCTACCTAGTAAGGCATAAAAGAACCCATACTGGAGAAAGACCATTCAGCTGCGACGTCTGCGAGAAGACATTTACAGCATCGTGCTACCTAGTAAGGCATAAAAGAACCCATACTGGAGAAAGACCGTACAGCTGCGATCTCTGCGAGAAGGCTTTTTATACATCAGCTCTCCTAGCAATACATATGAGAAGCCACACTGGAGAAAAACCGTTCAGCTGCGACGTCTGCGAGAAGAAGTTTTTTACAACAGGTAACCTAGTAACACATATGAGACTCCACACCGGAGAGCGACCTTACAAATGTAACGTCTGCGAGAAGACGTTTACAGCATCGAGCTGCCTAGTAAGGCATAAAAGAACCCACACTGGAGAAAGACCGTTCAGCTGCAATGTCTGCGAGAAGAAGTTTTTTACAACGAGTGCACTGGTAACACATATGAGACTCCACACTGGAGAGCGACCGTACAAATGTGACGTCTGCGAGAAGAAGTTTACAGCGTCGAAATACCTAGTAAAGCATAAAAGAACCCACACTGAAGAAAGACCGTTCAGCTGCGACGTCTGCGAGAAGACGTTTACAGCATCGAGCTACCTAGTAAAGCATAAAAGAACCCACACTGGAGAAAGACCGTACCGTTGTGGCCAGTGCGATAAGGATTTTACACAGTCTTCTAGTCTGGTCAGGCACATGAGGGTCCACAGTGGAGAGACGTCAGAGCAAACTGTAGATCAGCAGATTCAAAACTCTCCATAACTTGGGCCCTCCAACAATCTCCAACTAGATTCAGCTAAAATTTCTGTTCTCGTTTCTCTCTGTGTTCCTCATCTGCTGCTGTGCTCTCCACTCCCCTTCAAAACTGAACTTTGGTCTTCATAGACATTTCAAAATCCCACCTGAAAACACATCTATTCAAAGCCTCTTACAGTTCGAAATGTGAACTTTAGCTATAATTATTTTCATCACTTTTTGTTTTTGCTGTAATCATGGTCTTTGGTATGTTCTTTTTTATGGCAAAAAGGTTATGTTTATTTTAAATCTGAATAAAAAATATCAAAAACACGTACTGATTCCCATGAACAAACTGCCATTCATGTAAAGGTGTAACAAATTAAACAAGTCACGTTTCTTTTTTGAAACAGTTTAACAAAATAAAATACATTTTTATATTTCTCTCATTTGTGTGTCTCAGATCCTTGGTTTTAGATTTTGCTAAATAAATCTGGATAACAACTGGACTGTGGCAGTAAAATATAAAGAGACCGAAATTAAGGCAAGGCAAGTTTATTTGTACAGCACAATTCGTACATAAAGTAATTCAAAGTGCTTTACAGAATAAGAAATACATTAAAATCATAATAAAAACAGATCAAAACATAAATAATCATGAAGATTAAAATTAAAAAAGAGAGACATAAATTGGAGAGAAGAGTGTGGAATGAAAACCTTTCAGTTATTTGCACAGTTAAACAGAAAAGGTTTGAGTCTGGATTTAAACAGCGTCACAGAAGAGTCTGTCTCACATGTTCAGACTGTTCCAGGTTTTAGCTGCATGAACCTAAAACTCTGACTCCCCTTGTTTAGTCGTGACTCTGGGCACCAGCAGGAGTTGGTCCCTGAGCTCCTCAGAGTGTGAGATGTTCATATGACACTAACATGTCACAGATGGACTTTGGTGCTCGGCCGTGGAGAGACTTGTACAAACAGAGCTGCTTTAAAGTCTCTGAGCCACGGGAGCCAGAGCAGAGACCTGAGACCAGGACTGATGTGCTCGTACTTCCTAGTTCGAGTTAGGACCCGAGCTGCAGCGTTCTGGATGTTCTGGATGTTCTGCAGCGTCTCACAGCTCGTTTGGAGAGACCAGTGAGCAGAACATTACAGTATCTAACCTACTGGAGACAAACGCATGGATAAGTTTCTCCAAGTCTGATTTAGACAGTAAACCTTTGATTTTTGCTCTGTTTTTTAGATGGTAAAAGGCTGCAGATGTTATTGATTTGATGTGGCTGTTAAAGTTCAAGTCTGAGTCCATTATTACCCCGAGATTTCTTGCCTGATTTGAAGGTTTTAGAGAGAGAGACTGGAGGTGATGCTGACACTGTCCCTTTGTTTTTGTAGACCAAACACTATGACTTCAGTCTTGTCAGAGTTTAGCTGGAGAAAGTTGTTTTGCATCCACACACTGATCTGTTGGATGCAGTGACCAAGTGAGTCCACTGGTCCATAGTCTCCTGCTGCCAGAGAGACGTCGATCCGAGTGTCGTCTGCATAATTGTGGTAGGACACGTTATTGCTGCTTATTAACTGGCCTGTAGGGGGCAGCATGTAGAGATTGAACAACAGGGGGCCCAGGATTGACCCCTGAGGCACCCCACAGGTCAGGGCCATGTGATCTGAGACACAGTTTCCAATTTCAACAAAATACTTCCTGTCTTCCAGATAGGACTTGAACCAGTTTAGTATAATTACCACAGAACACTCGACGATGCCAACTCTAAAAGCTTGTGTTGTCCAATTCTCTTTAGCAGAATTTCATCATATTTTCAGAATACATGTCTTTTCAGCCACTGTTTTTCTTGACACCGACAAAAGTACATGTAAAATAAATGTACTGCTGATCCTCTGAGAGCCCCCGGTACGGAAGACCTGAGCAGCAAGAAAAAAAACAAAACAAAAAGTGGCACGTCATTTGGACTCCAAGTGTTTTTTCACAGTTATTTTATTTTATTTATTTTTTACTGTCGATGTGAGTGATGAAAAAAAGTGTATTCCCAGTATATAGAGGCTTTGCACCGTCACGTGACCCCTATAGCAACGGTACCTACGCCGCCATGACACCAGGCACACTCTGGCTCTGTCCCAATTCAAAGGGCTGCAGCCTCCGAAGGCTGTGAAGTCTGGGTCCTTCGTCGGCAGCGAAGGCTGCAGCCCTTGAACTGGCCTCCGTGGACGCCAGGCCGTTGTGGAAATGGGACAGGTCTAGACCTCGGAGCCGCTCCCCCGTCGCCTAGCAACCGAGGGACGCTGCTAGCGCTAATGCTAATGCTAACACGCTCCGCGCAGATTACGCACACGGATCAGTAAAAAGACGCACAGGTTCATCAAACTGTCGGATTTTGTGACAAAATAATTTTAATAATTCGCATCCAAATCTTATGGCCAAAAACAAAAATGTATGTTTAACTTTTGCAAAACAAAACGGCTATATTTAAGGGATACATCTACATAGACTAAATTATCTTAAAATAAAAAAAAAAAACTGTGATGTGATATGCATTACTAAATATCATTATTAAGGATTTTTATATTGACCAGGGATTACATTTATACAGTACAGTTTGTAAAGAAAGAAAGAATCTCTCCTGAGAAAAGATGATTTATTAAACAATCCAAGGAACGTCTGGAAATACTTTATAATAATATGAAGTCAAATATTAACCCCCCCCCCCCACACACACACACACACACACACACTCTGCATTAACAGCTGTATGTCAGTAAATCTCATTGTTTTCCCTCTTTGCTGAAGCTAGTGACAATCAAAAATGAACAAATTATCTTTGTCAAATATGATCATGTGGAACACCACACTTTATCTGCAGTACAATAGTACATTCTTATAGTACATGTAATTAGTTACTATCAAAAGAGACACAAAATAAACGGCACATTTCACCATAAATCAAATGTCAGTACAGGTTGAAAAACATTCAGAAAAACTTATGAGCAGATGTTTTCATTTCTGTCTCACACACTTGTTCAGATCATATGAGACTCTGGACCTGCTTCTCAGAGACTCTGGACATGGACATTGGAGACATGGACAGTGGAGACATGGACATTGGAGACATGGACAGTGGAGACATGGACAGTGGAGACATGGACAGTGGAGACATGGACAGTGGAGACATGGACATTGGAGACATGGACAGTGGAGACATGGACAGTGGAGACATGGACATTGGAGACATGGACAGTGGAGACATGGACATTGGAGACATGGACATTGGAGACATGGACATGGACATGGAGACATGGACAGTGGAGACATGGACATTGGAGACATGGACAGTGGAGACATGGACATTGGAGACATGGACAGTGGAGACATGGACAGTGGAGACATGGACAGTGGACTTGGACCACTCAGTCTGATGTGTCTCTCGTCTTCTGGAGGAGGAAGAGCAGAATGGTTGTTGCGTCTGATTGATTCAAAGTTCTGTCCTGCAGAGTGAAAACCTGTAATGACAAACACATTAAGAAAAAAAACTACAAAACTATTAGAGGAAAATAAGTTTGACAGAGCATGTAGCCCCAAAGAACACCTGGACTCCCCCGCACTATTTACATTTATTATTATTTATTTATACACAAGGAAGTGAGAAAAACAATTTTGATTCTTTATATGTTTTTCGTATGAAGAATTGAACGTTGAACTTAAACTTTGATGTAAATTCAGATTCAAAGACAGTTTATATCTGAAACAGCTAAATGAACTGAGGAATGTGAGAAATACATATTTTCACAATTTAAATCATAATTTCAACATGAGCATGATTAATTTGCAGCTCTTATTATTAGTAGAGTTTTCAGTGTAACATGCCCCAGACCTGATCATTGGCAGGAGTCTGGGTCAGCACCTCCAGCTCAGTGTTGGCTTTACTTTGTCATCTGCATTTGACCCATTTTATGAATCACAAGCATCTTGTCAGCCAACAGTTCTGTGGCTCCTGCAGTGTGTCGTGTCCTCATACAGGAGGCTGCAGATGAGAAAAGAAAATTCATGTAAAACAGATTTCTCATTGTTATATTAGATGTGACAGACCGAACAGACACAGTCAGGTCGTATCTACACCAGGTCGTATCTACACTAGGTCGTATCTACACCAGGTCGTATCTACACCAGTGTCTGCACAAATCTGTTAAATGAGCCTCATTTCCATCATAAATCTGACCTGTCCAGGCAGGATTATTTACTCTTCACTTTACAAACATGCACGGATTGTTAAAAGCAGATAATGTGTTCCCTGAATGAAATGCACATGTTAGAGGCTTATATTATGTGATTTACAAGTGAATATGAGCTTTGATAGAGTTAAACTGAGTCTTTTCAGTTGAATGTATGAAATAATGTGTGTTTTCATCTTAACTCCGAGCTACACTGACCAACTGTTTACATGTTTACACTGTCCGTGAAAACGTGGAGTTTTCTCCTCGTAGCTTCTTTAAATCATCTGTGAGCTTCTTTTCCCCTAACAGTAAAAACATGATGAGTGTTTGATGGAAATGTGTCCAAATATGAAAGTTTGAGCGGACTTTTCATCGCATTAGCTGCACATCACTAGGCAAACTTTAGCTCCAAACTCCGTGGTTCACGCAGTTAAAAACAAACTTATTTAACAGTTTTGTGGGAGTTATGGTCGTATTTTACGTTTACGTTGTGTTAGTAATGATTTCCTAAAGTTAAAAGTTACTCACGTGTTTTTCTCCGCTCTCCGGACGGGCTTTTTGCTCCGTGTTTTCGCTCCGTGTTTTCGAACATCTGACTGCCGCCGCGCGGTGCATGCTGGGATACTGAAGGCTGTGAAGGACACTCGGATGTGTCCTCCGTTCGCGGCCCCATCTCCATGGAAACGAGGACGGTTTTAGGGCTGCATTTGAAGGCTGCATGACATAAAAATGAAATGGGACAGGCCTTGTTTCACCGGAAGTGACGTATGCGGCCTTAAAACCAGCCTTCGGAGGCTGCAGCCCTCGAATTGGGACACAGCCTCTGTCATTGACTTCAGCAGCATCAGAGAAACATGGGCAGGTTTTGTTGTGTATTTGGTTGTTCTAGACGTTCTTAACGGAATAAAACGTTTCGCTTCTTCACTGTTGCTCTGGAAATACTCATCAGGAGCTCAAACAAGGGAATTATCGAAAAAAAAAAAGAAAAAAGAAAACGGGAATTATGGCTAGAGAACATAAACCGCGAAGAGATTTCCAATATTACCATCAAGACACACTCACGTCACTTTCATCAAGGTATTTGCTATTTAAATTGTTTCATTGTTTATTTAATGAGAGAAACACATTTACTGAACTAAAATGTAAAAAGAAAACATTTGCAGTAGAAACTGTATCTTCCAGCGCACATATAAACATGTCACTCGTCGTAGGACCCATGTTTTCTTTA